GAATCTTGTATTGCACATAGAAATTTTTGCTTTGGACTTAACTAAAATTTTTCCATCTTAGAGGTATCATAAATTCATTTGGAGATGATTTCATAGATAATATATTTGGAGGCACTTCAGTTATTCTGACTATTAACTTCCCCTTAATTATTTTATATAATTAGTTTACTTCTGCATGTCTTTCATCAGCTGAAAGAAAAAAGATATGTGTAGAAGTTCACTCTTAAAAATTGTGTACAATCACTAATGCATGCTTGTCAATTAGTGTCCAGAGAGGCAGTATATATGTTCATAAACATATATATTGTGTTCATTCAAATTATGATTTTAAAGTTGAAAAGTAACTGGTTTAGAAGATAGAGGTTCAGGCAGGAACCATGTCATATTGATTTCAGTCTTTAATTACATAAGCAAGGTTTTTTTCAAGGAAATATTTTACCATTCAGTGCAAAAAGCAAACATGCTGTGAAGAGTTAAGACAGTGTGAAGACAAAAGCCACTGTCATCTGTGTAATAGAAACTGATGATGACTGAGTTTTGGAGAATGAAAGAATAGCAAAGAAAATCAACCTCTGAAGGCAGATGAGTGATCCCAAAAATAGCTGGATTTCTTATGTGTCATGCAAAGGAAGTTACTTTAACTTTTCCGTTTATAATTTTCTCTGTAAGGTATGTTTAACAACTGAGTCAGAGGTGCACTTGACTTACAATGTGCTTTAATGTACTGTGTGTACCAAAAGACTTGTTTTTTTCAGCCCTTTCTTTAAGTTGGCAAATATTTTGGCCCGATTTTTTTTTGTGCCTTATTTCGGAGGGCAAAGCATACAAAAGCATAAATTTCCTCTGGAGCAGGTGCTGCTGTTTGGAGTACAAGTGAAATAAGTGAGAACACTAGCAGTTAAACTTTCACAGCAGAGATAGAATAATGTATATTTGTGCATGAAACGCATTTTTATTTTAAGCAGAAGCTGCCTATTAAATGACCGTGCTCCCTTCTGTGTATTGTATGATCTTTGGCTGAAACGAGTGAGGGTTTTATTGCTGAAATAGTGTACAACTGTATAGATAGAGAATGTGTCAGAAAACACAAGAATAAATAAACAATTTAAACAATGTCTTTCTTTCTAATATTTCCCAATTTGACTTTGAAACCTTAGTATTGCTATCCTGGCAACTTTATTTGTATGTAATTTTATTAAATTGAAAAAAGAGTAATTCAATTTATTGTGCAGAGCTCAGCTGGTTAATATTACAGAATAAACTGTGGTAGTAATATGGTAGTCCATCAGGGCTGGAAAATGGGAGGAATGATTTTGTTAATAAGTTTATTGAATAGTTGCTAGATCGTAAGACATATCTTCACAAGTTTGGCTGGCAGTTCCCCTGAGACAGAGTATTTATCTACCTCTAAAAAGGATTCTACCTTCTACCTTCTACCTTCTGGTCTTCTTTTAATCTCAAGTATTTTTTTGTCTAAAAAAGGTGAGCTGAAACTTCTTAGTGTATGTTACAATCAGCATTGTGTATGAATTTTGGAAATTCAGATGATTTACATACTTTAAAAAGCTGTTGTACAAAAGGACTCCTTATGTTTGAAATAATGCTAAGTGTTGTCAAATTAGAACTAATGCCTGAGTGTTGACAACTTATTCCCAGTCTGGCAGCTTCTCACAGAAGCCACACCTGTCGGCCCTTCTGCTACCAAAACCTGGCCATTCAAACCCAGTACAGTAATTTGTCAGAATTCTAATTATTTATATAAGATTATTTTCTCTCCAAAGATTGATTTCCTTTTCATGAATGTGTATTTTGTAATGATATGGCCATACATATGATTTGAAAGCATATTTGCTCATTAGTTGTCTGCACATCTATTCAGTCTGACCGTTTATATAAATCGATATGCACATTATTGATACACATTATACATTTGCTACTACTACGTATATTCTACCTATTTATGAAATACATAAATTGATACAGAAATTTCATGCTTTGTCAGACCTCTCTTTTAATTCTAGTCTCACAAAGTATCTGAATTTGAAAGTAAATCAAAATGGTGAAATTGTAAGAGTTGATCATAAGTATATTCTATCTTTATAATCTTTACAGTAGTTGATGGTTCTGTGAAGATGAGTCTTTGTCAGTCAGATGGGTAATATATTGCCACTGCTTCTCCATCACTCCTCTGATTCTGTGTATTATAAGCTGCTCCTGAATAATCTGGGATAAATATTCAAGACTGCATAATTACAGTCCATTTGGATATTGCATCTGTGGTGAATCCTTTATACTTCTTTATTCTTTATTGTGCAAAGGAAGTAAGTAGGAGACTTGGAGAAGTACTCTACACATTCTTAGCAATAAAGCCTTACCATTCTTTATTGCAGTTTTCTCCTGGTGGCTGTTTTCTATTTTTTGAGACAATGTTGACCACTTGAATGAAGAAAATATAGATTTTTTCCTTAACTTTAAAATTCTGTCTTTAAAATTAGGCCGGAATATCAAGCTGCTGCAAACTGAAAGTTACCTTTTTCTTTTTTATTACTTCTTCTGTGTTGTGTTCATAGCCACAGAATTTAAGACTTTAAGAAGCACTTCTTTGTTTTTTTCCAATTGAGTTAGTCTGTGCAGAAAGAGAAGGGGAACGATAACCAGTGGTGAGAAGGAGTTAAGGGCCTGCTGAGGAATATCTGGACTTTCCAAAAACCAGTCAGATCTCCAGAACTGCCAGTTCTTGACATGTTTAGTGTTTTCACAATTGGTATTTTCTTTCTTTTTTTTTTTTCAGTTTCTTTTCAGGTAACCATATGCTCTTTTAAAAATTTGCGGGTGGATACACATTTCTGATTTGGTAATTAGTATAATGATGAGCTATTCTTTTGTGGCGACTAAGAAAAATGTTTAAACTACTTGTAAAGTGTTCTAGGCAAATTTTATTTACTTTTTCCAGTCTGTGTTGTGGGTATCATTTAATGAAAAGAAAATGTCTAATAAGATTCAAGTCCAAAGATATGTATTAACAAAACTTTCCTGTTAGCACAGAAGACTGAGATTATTCTAGCTGTTTCCAAATTTTTACCTATTGAAGTGTAAGAAAATAGTTGCTCACAAGGTCTCTGAAAGTAATTTCCTTATTGTTCCCCTTGAAAATCAAAGGGAGTTGCAGTCATGATACATGTACTATTTGAGATTTTCTAGAAGGTTGCACCATAATGAGTGAAGCTGGATGTCCATCTTTGTGCGTAAATGAGTGGAATGTTAAAAATCCTCGCTCATGTTCTCTGAAAGTGCATGTTTTCTGCCTTAAAAAGGGGATTAAATGCCTTCTTCCAAAATAAAAATACAACCTCATCCCAATAATTTGCTGGGAGTCCAAACTTGATATGTTCTAAATACACTTCATTCATAATTTCAGTATGTTGTATTTTATAAAAGGAAACCTGATGTCAGTTTCCTCAGTTTATCAATGATGCTGGAATTCACCTTTATCTTAGCAGATAGGTGGCTGTTTTCATCAGGCATTCTAAAATCAAGGGATAAAATCTATAAAAAGAGACTGAGGTTTCCTGTATTAACATTTTCTGTCTTTGTTGGATATCACTTGTGTTTGTCAGGAAGAAGTAATGAATAGTTTTGTTGTCCTTCCATACAACTTTTCAAATCCTCAAATCCTGGTCTAAGATTAAGTGGGTCAAGGGAAAAGGAAACTCTGTTCCTACCATTCCCAATTTCTTTCCATTCTTATTCTGTTGCCCAATTATTTACTGGTAGTCATCCAATCCACTGCTATTCATTCTGTTCATGCTATTCATGTCCTTATTTTTTTATGAAGGTAAAGGATGTGTTGGCAGGTAGTCATGCCATTTCCTCCAAAAGCAGGAGAGTGGATCCATCAAATCCTATTCAAATAGCAAGTTCCTTCTTTAAAAGCAGTAAACTGTTGGCCTGCTATTTCTCCAAGGAGGCAGTTTGAAGGCATCTTTTATTATGAGACTCCTGAATATACTGTGTCCTCAGTATATATATCCATGGGAGTGGCATTTTCTTCTTGTCTTCACCCTGGTGTTTCCCACCAGAAGTTTCTTTCTACCCAGGAGCATGGGTGCCTACCGCTGAAGTCAGTAACACAGTGGCTTTGTGCACCATGGAGCCTTTTTTTTGTTAGGGAAATCCTTCACCTGGTGTGTACTGCAGGCAAAAATGTCATTCCTGTGATGGTTTGTATAGTTTCTTTGTAAATGACTATTACAGTACTCTATTGTGGGTTGTTTTTTTTTTTTAAGGGGCTGGTTTTTTTCTTTCTGTAAGCAGGCTTTCTGTAGTGTGCTGTAGTTTCATAGTTCAAGTACCATTTTGGCAGCAGTGTTAAACTAAGTTATCATTAGATTTGGTGACTATTAATTAGGAATTAAGTTTTACATTCTAAGGCTAACAGTTAACTGTGTTTTCTCAGTGGGATGTAACTATGCTTATGTAAGACCATGATAATTTGATGACTGAAGATAGTTGGCTTTATGACTTGTGGGTCTGTTCCTTGAGGGAGAAGATGCTATTTTTTTATGTAGAAGTATGACAGGCAGAGCATGTCTTGCTGAGTTGACTGATATGATGTATCTTTCTGCTATCCCAGATAGACAGTTACAGGTGATGCTCTTTCACTGCCTCCCTGACCAATTCCTATGAACAATTACAAAACAATTAGAAGAGAGGAGGGGAAAAGGGGCTTGAGTGGGCCATATATTTTCTGCTCAATAGAAAGGGTTAAGTTTCAGTGACCTTTGGCTACACTTTAATTTATGCTGCTTGTATCTTCTTTGATAATACTGAACATGTATAGTCTTTTCTATCCCTTTTGCAGTGGTATTCTTTATTATCTGCATATAATCTGTCTATTTATAGAGTTTTAAATTGCATTTTAATACATCCACATAATAAACATAACACCTTGTGTGCTTTGATCAGTTTCTTTGACTATGGGAAATAATTTTTCTTTTCAGTGGAGTACAGTAAATGCTGATATAAAAGCTACAACAGGCATTCAAATGAGTGAATATTTAGAAAAAGATGAAAAGCATGTTCGTATTATCTTTGTGTGTTACTTAAAGAATGTTCTAAATGTATGCAGTACCACTGTGCTGGGGGACTGTAGTCTGAAGTAACATGGGAACTAACATATTAATATCAAGGTAAAGGTACATATTCCCCAGATGCATAGTTTTACCTTTTTCAGCTTTTATTATCTTTAGAATAGTGTTCCATTTATTTCATGAATACAGAAGTATTAATTGGCCATGACATGTTCCAAAGACAAAAGAAAGGTCTAATTCACTCTAACAAACTTGTTAGTCACTGTTTATATCAAGAGGATTGTGAATCTACAGAGAGTAACACTGTTTTCTTCTACACTTGCTTTGTTTATAAATCAAAAAGTTTTTAAGTGACCTGCAGTGTCTGCTTGTAGTTTAAAATGTTACTTATAAAGCAGACTTCCACCACGTAGCACAGATATTTATCCCTTAAGATTAATTCTTTAAGTTCGTTTGGGGGAAAGAAGGACCAAAAAAGAAATCCTAATATTGTGGTGCTTTTAGAATATTGGGATTTTTTTATTCTGTAATGCAGTATTTCATATTCTAAGATGAAATCCTTCTGATGTATGTAATTGTTCATTTCTGTGAGCAGTGGGCAATTTGTGAATGCTAAACTCTTGACTTCAGATTGACCATATGTATTGGTACTTCTAAACATTTTTTTAATGAATAAGTCTACTTTTTAACTTGGGATTTTTAGTATCTAAAGTGTATAGCTGTCTCTGACAGTGATGCTTAGATTTGTTTCAGTTGTCATTAGCTGTATCAATTTCTAATTGTTATGGTTTCACAGTATTTCAGTTGAATGATTTGTGTGATTTATCTAGTGAAGTACATGATCTTTAACTTAACAAAAACCAGGGTTTAAAGTTTTCATCCATCCTAATTCAGTTACTGTTTGCTTTGTTCACCAATCACTCTGATCCTCCTAGCAGGGGACAAGACCTAGAGAACAAAACTGATAGTGACTGTGTAGATAAAACGGCAATGAATTCTGCTTTTAAGGCATAGAGGGAATAGTCTGTAAAAGAATAAAAATTGGAATGAAAGTGCAGTGTCTTTAACCTGCAGATCTATTGTACCTTTGAAAAGCTTGTACTCAGAAAAAAAACATACTGTGATGCTACAGAGATTTATAATTATGTGACAGAACACTTTGAAGAGAGGGCACTTTAGAAACTGACCAAAAAGCTTGTCAAGAAAATAGACCACATTATAAATAATTAGAGAAGTAAAGAATGCATTTCCTTAAAATGTCTATGGATTGTTTTAGTGAAATACTAAGTGTCATTATGTATTTTACTTATTATATGATAGAGATGTGTTATTTATTTTCTGATAGAGCCACTTTTTAAACTTAGTGAAGATGATGCGGCCAAGGCTAATGCTTCAAAGAGATGTATGAGAGAAGTTTCATACAAGATGCTACAGAAGGTAAGATACCAACCCCAACAACCAGATCTAAATTTTAATATAAGAATTATATATATATATGTATGTATGTATGTATGTGTAAATGTTGGTACTCATTAATTTAAGATATCATTTTCCTTCAAAATTTAAAAACGTGTCTTTCTGGAATTTTGCTCTGAAATTAATTCTAGGGAAATTGCTGTGAATGTTATGTAAGATAAACATGGGTAATGTCAGAAAAAATTAAAAGAGTGTTTAGGGGTGTAATGTTAAAAGTTGACAGATTATCTAAATTGTAAATAGCATTTTGTCCCTTAACTTCAAATTTTTCCCCTTAACTTCGGGAACTTTAATTTTTTTTGCTGGGTATTTAACTTTAGATGATATCAGGTCTTAATCTCCATAGAACTCCTCTACATAATAGAACTGATGCATAATAATAATAATAATTTCACTGTTTGTTGTATTTAAATTTTAACACAATGTTTCATGTGCATATTTTTTCTACGTGTGTGGGTCTATTACTCTTTTTACAAGATAGTACTATATGCGTGCAGTGTTCTCTAGCTCAACAAATAATGATAAGTATTTTATCTTTACTGCTTAACATTCTACAGATTTTGCCTCATACAGTGACGGGATGTTCTTAACTAGCTGATATTTGTATTGATATTTGTAATATACACAAGTAGTTTACTATGTTAACAGGTGTTCACTTAAGAGGGCTCACTTGTATTTTACCATATGTTTTGTTTGCTTGCAAAGAAAAGGCATCCTTCAAACAGTATCACGCCTTTTGTTTGTCATTTTGCAAAACTATTTGTTTAATTACTTATAAATCTTTAAAAGCATGGTTAAATTGAATAAACACAAATCTATAACTTTGAATGTCAGTTCAGGTATGTCTGTTTATTTTTTATCTGTGAATTAACTTGTAGGAAATATGGTAATTTACAGCAGATGATGTGATTGCATATACTTGTAACGCTTGCCATATGGTCAGGCAATGAAGGCTGTCATCTCGTTATTACTGAATGACAAACATCATGTTAAAATAATAACACACAGAATAGGAAGTGCTCACATTCATTTATCTTAAGGTAGAGTGAGTAATTGAAATAATATGAATGCTACCATCTGAAATGTCACAGTTTATGCTTGCTTATCATCTATATTTCAGAACTGTAATTTTGTTTGCCAGGTACTACATAATTTTTATCCCTATGGATATACAGAGTTATGATGGTACCTTAGGGATAGGTGTAGAAGCTATTTATTGTTTATTTCCTTCCAGCTGTCATACATGACTTTAAGTGCTACTGAGTGCAAAAGGTTCCTTTAAAGAACTGAGAAAATAGCAGAATCTCAGTTTAGGCAGGTGCTTGAAAAAAGATATTGGTCTAACACATTGTCATAGGGGTGGAAAGTGCAAACTATGATTTTAATTATAACCTTTTGTTTCACTAAAGCATTTGAAAAAAAATCCCTTTTATTTCTAATTTCACCCATTAACTTTATGTAGCCATAATGTTTTGTCTCTTCATATTAAAGATTTCCTATCAAACTCATGAATTCAGTATCCAGTTCACAAATACATATGAAGTTTGAGTAGCTCTTGTCCTAATTTGCCCTGTACATCAAGAGCTCCCATTTATCCGAATCATATCTGTAGTACCCAATTTGTACAACATTTCATAAATTTTAAAATAATTTAAGTGTTGGCAAAACATTGTTGTAAAAACCTAAAAGTTAAAACTTACAGAAATAATATGGTTTCAGTATTTTCAGTGTCAAAGATAATTTTGACATTTTGTATTGCTACAAATTGTGGGAACTGGCCAGTATCTTACAAGGTTGGGAGTTCAAGTTAGCCATGCACATGCTAGTATAGCTCCTGGAAAAACAGTCTTTCCTAACAATGTACAGAGAAACTCAGAATCCCTGACATATTCCTTAGTGAAAGAGTGGGGATTGAGCTTGTACAAAACCATCCAAAAATATTTCTCCAGGTGTTGGAGTAAGTGGTTACTGAGCACGAAACTTCCTCTGATGTCCTTTTCAGGCTTCTGGGGATGTCTCACAGACTAATAATCACATTAGTATCTGCTAAAATTAAAATTGCCCCTTTTTTCTGGAAATTGTCCTTTATGTGGATATTCCAGAACATCACAGAGAGTCAGTTTATTGTTAATGTACTTCAGTATCCATAAATCCCGAAGTACTTTCGAAGCAAAATGTAGGTAGAATAGTGTCTTCTTCAAAATTTATGTGAGGAACTTGGTAAATTAGTCTATTAATTGAAACACAGTAGATTTTTCCTTTCTGTAAATAGAAAACACATACTAGCTTCCATATTTTAGGTGCTGAGTTGCTGATATATCTTGCTAGAATTTGTTTGAGGTTTTTTGAAAGATCAAATTAATATTTTATTTCTATGTTTATGACACTTGAAAGAACTTGTTGCTTCAGATAGCTAGTGCAAATTGTCTATATTTCAAAGTAGTAATCCTCCTAAAATGTTTTTTAAAATTCAATTAGTATGTATAACAAAATCAGTAATGAGCTCAATATGTATCAGGAAGATTCATTAGCATGGCATACTTAAACTTCTGTGTCATTTTGTCTGGAATTTTAAGTTCTTTTACCATCTGCCCTTTGTTCAACAGCTGTATTATTGCAGCTAAAATGTTTTAGTCTGCACTATGATAAATTATTTTAAAATTAAGGACTACAGATAGCTTTTGTCCTTGCTCTTCATGTGATATTATTGTCATATAATAAATGTATCTGAAAACATAGTTTGGAGTTTTTCAAGACAGGCTGAATATTGTGAATGCTAAAATTGCTTTTTGTAGGTACAACAACTAGAAAGAAGATTCAAAGCTATTGAAGGGGAATTAAAGAAACAGAAAGAAGTAAATAAAGACTTACTGAATGAGAAAATGTATTTGAAAGAATCTTTGAAACTGCAAAAGGAAGATGCAGACCCAAGAAAAAGAGAGCTGGAAACTGTACTTAAGAGGATTTGTGAGGTAAAAAAAGAAAAAGCAGAACTTCAGTTCTTGATTGATGAGAAGGAAAAAGAAGCTGCCTCTTTGAAAAGGCAAGTGACAGAAGCTAACAGGTTGAGAAATGAAAGTGAAGATTTGCTGAGTCAAGTGCAGGAGCAGAAGTGTTTGCTGGATAAATCCAAAGCAGTGGCAATCTCTGGGCAATATAATTGCAAGATAACAGGCACCAAGGTTAAATTAAAAACAGCCAAGAAAAGGAGCTCTTTGGGACATCATGGAGCTTTTCTCAAACAGTCCATCAAGGTTATGAGTAATGTGTTTGAGAACTTCAGTAAGGACGGCTGGGAGGATATGAGTGAAAGCAGGTACGGCTCTCATTAACTTAGCCCTGTAGAGGGGACACTGTGCATATGTAAAGCACTAGCAAATGGAGATTGAATTTCAACTACTGTTGATTTGGTATTCAAAAAAAATACTGTCAGATCCTTTGAAATATCTTGGGAGGTCTTGTTCGGAGCTTATTGACTGAAATTTGCATGCGAAATTAGCCACAACTGCATGAGTATTTGAATAGGTGCCAGGAAACCCAAAAGAAGGCAATGCTTGATTTCTTCCAGTGATGCTATTTTCATGCAGTCATGAGGCTTGAAATTGACAGTTTGGCAGGTTGATTTAATTTGCTGGCCTTTTGCATATTCACCACTGACAGCTAAGGATTCCCAGGCAAGCCTAGTAAGTCGGTTTAGTTATCTTGTGACATGCCGACCCGGGAGGAGAAACATTTTTTCCCCTTAATTTAGTTAGATAAATTTTGAATGACCCATTTCAGCTTGCTAGCAGATGTCTACAAGCTGTTTAACATCCTTTAAATTAAGAACCATCCACACTAATTATTTCCTGTATGTTTTATGCAGTCATTGTACTAACTTTAATTGAATGATGGTTAAAAATCTTTAAAGGTGAGGGTTACCACATACAATCCCAGTCATGAATCAAAAGGCTCTCAGAAAATTCCACTGGCAAGCATCATATAAACAATGAGAATTTTTGCTTCTCCTTATTATGTCCCCATATACTTGAGGAGGCAGCAGTTAGCCACTAGGTAAATGGCTATCACACCTTGTCTTTCAGGACATTGTTCTAAGAGGCGAGCAAAGAAATTTCTCAAGCCTGTATGTATCCAAGATACAGGAAATATGGGAAAAGAGTAATGAAAATAGAATTGTTTTCATAGGCTTTATACTCTATGTGTCATATGGAGCAAATGAGTAGTGGCAAATGAAGCTTTTCTACTACTTCTCTCCATGCAAAATAAGGGGTTCCTGAACATAGTATCTCGAGGGAGAAAACAAATTAAGAACCATGTAATTAGTCAGCTGTTATCATTAATGTAAAGCTTGGGGTTCTTTATGTATAATTAAATATTGCAAATCTGATTTTAATAAAAAACATACATGTTTCATATATGGAAACATGTATGCATGTTGTAATTGGTGAGTATTTAATTTGCTGTTTTGTTCTCTTTAAGAAAAAATTAAGCAAGGACATTGTCATTCCACTTCAAGTTTGAAATGAAAAATATTTACATAGCTTCACTTGTGGCTAGCCATAAATACTGCTTTTAATAATTGTACAAATGTTAGGTTAGGGAATTCTTGTGGTAGAAAAGTGAACATTGTTGAAGTTTCAAGGTGCCATTCTCAAAAACTTAGGGAAGTATCCTAATTTAGTTTCCTCTTCTGCTTTTTAAAAAATACCATTCTTTATTACTAGCAGCTGGTGCTCTTCTCTGGCCACAATTACATCTGCAATCACTTTTTTCCTTCTTAATTATGTTATCATCGAGATGCTATCATTTCTAATTGGCCCATGGTGGGTCTGTCTTTGAGCTGCTAGGGACTGGCTCTGCTGGATATGGAAGAAGCTTCTGGCAGCTTCTCACAGAAGCCACACCTGTAGCTCCCCCACTACCAAAACTTGGCCATACAAACCAAATATACCTATAAAACTGTTTGGACAGGAATGTGAAAGATTACTTAAAAATGTAAAGTTGCTATACAAGCTAGTGGTGCTGTCTCACAGTCTGGACAAAGAATGCCACAGACATCCCATTAAACTTTCTGTCAGTCAGAAGCACCATACAGAGCAGGCTGACCTAACCCATAACAGGGGGATAGCACCACCCCTCTCTAGCTCCCTTCTAGCCAAATGGTGTGCTGACTAATCAAACATAAATGTCTCTCAGTTCGTTTGTTGTGCACTGGACAAGTTTCTCCATCTTAGAAAGAGACTTTTGACTCTCTCTGTGTCCAGAATATTCTGTCTGAGAAAAGTATGATTTTAGCCTCTTCTTAGCCGGTTTACATGGATTGTCTGGGATTTGAACTGCTTGTCTCATTGCTAACATCTATATGCTGTTTTCTCACAGAAGAGGTCCAGCTGGTTGTGTCCCAGGTCTTAAGAGGCTCCCTACAATCTGTAAGAGATGACTCATTCTTGGACTTTTTAACAGTGCCTAGTAGATTTTCCCTCCTATGTTTGTCCAAATAATCACTTAATAGAATTTTAAGCATAAGCAGATATTATTATTTCTTAGTTTAAGAAACAGAATACTGAAACACTGAACAACTTGCTGCTTTTAGATGACTAGTTTGAAATTCAGTATTTTGAATGGTGACAGAGTTTGAAAAAAGAGCTTTCCTTAGTTTCTAAAATTTTAGTGCAAATGCACACTCTGTGGTCTTGTTACATATTCTTGATGGTGTTATTTCATCAATACTTTTTGATCAAATAAACTGAAATAAAGGAAAATTCTTACCCATTAATCTGTTGGTAACAATACATAGTATGATTGGGTGCATATGCTATATATGAAGATCTGACAAAAGTATGCTGGTCCTGTTAATCTCCTTCTACTCCTGAGTGAGGACATGCAAGGCAGGGAACCCAGGACACTGTCTTCTGTTGCTTGGTAGTACAATTTTTGTAGGGCCTGTATTAGGTTTGCTCTCTGTTCCTTGTGGAGAAGATAGATATATTCTGATAGATATTTGTAACAGACTGGTGGAACTGAAGCAGACTCAGGAAGTGTCTGGAGAGCCCTAAGCAGTTAAATCTGCTTCAGTAGAATCCCCTATTGCAGGAAACAATAGGATTTGAAAACATGGTTTATGAGTGTGAAATAAAGTATTGCACAAATGTTTAGCATTAGCACTTGGGAGCACCAGTTTTAACAGAATTCTTTAATCCATCCAGAGGATGCAAGGACCTTACTGGTGTGTATTCTCATACAAAGAGAGGCTAAAGATATCTCCAAAGTCTTGAGCTGTGCAAGGGGTTGGAGATGAGACCATTTGTGATACAAGGACTTGGTCATTTTTTCTCCACGTGGTAGGAATATATAACACCCTGTGCAGTATCAGCAGAGTTACTGTAACTCTCTTACCACTCATACATTTATTAGAGCTGTGGCTTAGGGTGGAGATCTCAGTCTTTTTGCTGCAGGTGTGGATTGTTTGCTTGTCATCTGCTGAGAGCTCAGTTCTTGGTCTTTCAAATTGTGTGGTGATTGTATTTATCTAGAATTCATGGCTAATTTATCCTGCAATGTCAGTAGTTTGTTCAGTGCAGTTAGTAGAGAATGTGATGGTCTTTACTCTTTTAAATTTGCTTAACAGCTATTTTAGATACGAATATTCCCAGAATTATGAAACATGATATGACCTAGAAATTGAAATCTGAAAACTTAAAAAACAGGAGAAATATTGCAGTGTTCCTGATCAAAAGTGTTGAAATATACACTGAGCATTTAATATCTAGTAAATTGGTACACAAACCCACGGACAGGCTGTTGCAAGATTTGCTTGTTTGAATTTGTATGTGTATTTTCAGATATTTAGCTCATTATTTTAAGGTGAAATTCTCATATAATAAATGACTGTCAAACAGCATCTTTTCATACAGTTAAAGTAAGTTTTTACTAAGCCCCACGTAGTGAATCTGCTGCCTGATAGGAGGTTTTACATTACTTTTTGTTCATGTTTGCCCCTTGTACCCAGCATAGCCAGTGAAACAAATTAAATGTGTTTTGGTGTAGACCTTAAAAAACCCCCAGCCTGTTAACAAGACACTGAAGCCTTTATTTTTGATAAACTTAATCAGAAATTCGAGACACATTTGAGACACTTCCAAGTCCTTGTTGATTTTGCATTGTTGCCACTTAAGAAAAAGCACAACATGGAGTGTTTATATGTTGATTGTTTTATATATTTTATGTTTTTATAGGTCAGCTGTTAATTTACCAGTATACTTACTAAGAAATATTTTAGGGATTGCAGGAGTGTTTTGAAGGGCCAAAACAAAATCAAAAATCATGTTACTTATGATGATTTCATTCATTTAGTAATATGCCATTTTATGTTCAGTGAACAGAGCAAAAGGGAGAAATACCACTATTCAGAAACTGGGCTACTCTGTTACTCTACTGCAGAAAAAAATTAAGCCACTGAAGAAGCAGGTAGCTGTTGTACAGAGGAAAAAAAAGACAACAGTGTCTTCCATTAAAAATGTTACACAAAACAATGACAAATTAACAAGTCAGCTACATTTGCCTGATCAGACTTCAAGTCTCAAGTGACCATAGAGGTAAAGTACTTTTCATTATAGTGTCTTACAATGTTCACCTTAATTCTAGTGCACTTCTGTGAAATTTTGATAACACTGATTTTTTGTATTTTAATTTATTATAGTCAAAATTATGAGATATTATATATTACCATGCTTTGTGTGGGCCATTTATTATGTACGGAAGATATTGAGGCTAGTGTATCTACATAGTTAATTTATTCTTTTGAAAATAAAGTGGTCTTCATGCTGATTTTTTATGTATATTCAAATGAATGAAGTAAGTTTCACTTTTAGCCTGTGATCTGCAAACCTTCCTGAGAATCTGATCAGTCCAGAACTAGTACCTGTTCCTCTGTGAAGAACAGGCACTGTCCCCATACACCCCAAGACAACTACTAGAGTTTTCTTCCAAAGGGGACTCAGATCTGTTCCATATCTATTTAATCCAATCTTTTTCTGTTAAGGTGAAAAGCCAAAAAACAAAGTTTGTGGAAAGAGAGACTAGTATTTAGTTAACAACCCAAGGACACAAACTTTCTTCTCTGCTTCAGTCTTCATTTCTTCTTAATCCTTTTCTACGCTATTACTCCTTTCTGTTTTTCCCCATTCTCATGTATATATGTATTTTGTGTTAATCTATATGCAGCTCCTCAGCTGGAATTCTTTTCTGTTCATACTGTAGTGATTGGCCTGCCCTTTATAGAGCTGAATCAACAAACACTTATGCAGTAATTGTCTCCTGTTGGTCACACACACATCCTGCTTCCAGAATTATAGTGCTACAACAGATGGACTTGCTGGAAGGAGGCACACATTAAAAAAGAAATCAAATCCCCTCCCCCTCAAACTTCTCTGTGTTTTTGTCTTTGCACAGAAGGCGGAAGCAGTATCAGGAGCAGCACTTTTCACTTTCTTAGTACTAGGGAACTGCTAATTTCTAGAGGAGGGAAAACTTCATTTCTCTTACTCATTTTGCATAACTATGTATGTGTAATGAATTGTTTAAAAAGAGTTTCCATGATTATTGGAACCATTGAAGATCTACCTATCTCACAAACAATTTCGTAATATAGTTTCATGGACAGTATAAACTTCACAGGGAACGATACGTGTAATTTAGCAAAAATGTTCTGATTTCTCAGACATCTTCATGACTTGCCTTCCTAGAAGACTACTCCTTAGGTGTCTATTGAAGAGCAATGTGAGAAATGAAATAGAATATGCTGTTATCAGGGAACTGTTAAAAAAAAAAAAAGAAAAGGGGAGGACAAAATTTATGTAAAGATAAGAGCTGCTGTAATAGAAAAGACTGAGTAAAAAATAGCATGGGTTTAAAACCAAACTGGTTTTCTATCACTCAGTTTTTATGGAAGGTTTAAAAAAAGAGGTCGCTGGTCTATTTAAAGGGTGGTGCATTCTAAGCAAAAATAAATAAAGGTTGTTTCGGGTACTCAAGGAAAAAATCTTTATTAGGCATGCACATTTTTTTCCTTCTCAGCAAACAATTCAAATTCCCTTTCTTACAACTAATTACTCTTCAGGTGCCATACTAGTACTACCATGTGGGAAATTTAAAGCAGAGGCTTGGGCTACTTGCCAAGTGAAAATTAAGGAGGTAAAGAACTTACGCAGTCACTGCAGGGTACACTCATGTTTTAGAGAGAGAACCCTGATTCCGACAGATCTAATGGTGCTAAAGCACTCACTTGTGTGGGGGACTTTGGGTTGGTTTTGTTTGGGTTTTTTTGGTAAGAAATACTATATAGAAGTGAATTTTTAAGATATTGCAAGGGAAATAATGTTTGCTAAGATTTCTTGTTTAATACTTTTGTTACTTTATATTTTAGAATTTTCTTGAGAGGTAGAAGGTAAAAAACAGTCAAACCATGGAAAAAAAATATTGACACAATCTCTGGATTTGGAGAAAATCTTAAATACTTCAAGAGTGCCGAAATTACTAATATCCAAAAATAAGCATCTACAGTTAACTGCCATAACCATAAAGTTCTGGGTAAACTTACATTAATAATGAACTTTTGGTCCTAGGCTAAGGTAAGTTTAGCAGTCTAGCAAGTGTTAACATTAACATCATGGCTTGGACAAGATGCCATTTTGCCTGAATTTATCTAAGAAAATAAATCCTTTAGCAGACAAGGACAGATGTTTGTGCAGTCAGTCCTTCATTTTAGTCCCCAGGGACTCTAGAAGATCAACTCTAGATTTAAGATTTAAATGTTCCAGATGTTCATTTTGGGACAGATTTTGCAGTTCATGCAACCTAAGGACTGTCTAGTATATGTCGATTTTTCAGAACATATACATGCATGGTTTTGTGTATTTTTCTTGAAAATCCACCCAGGCGTGTATGTAGGTGTATATTTGTCTGCTCTTAAGAGTTCAGAATTCTGGATTTAAGTTATGGGTTTTTTTGGCCTTATAAATGCTTTGCAGTAACGTAGATCTCTGGTTTTGTTTGATTTCTGCAAAAGCGATTCCTTGCATATTTTAAAAAATGGCTGTGAAGTGACTGCACATGTGAGAATCAACACATGCATTCTCCAAGGATTCACATTAACACTGACTCAAGACCATCTGTACAAGAAGTACAGTAGTTACATTTTGTTATTGGTGTATAGAAATCACAGCTGGAGCAGATAGTTAATGCAGAAGCCATGGTATTTTTTATTTTCTTAGTTTCTAAGAAAAGCATTTAAAAGAAGTTGTTGGAAAAATTCAAGATCTCTTCTCTAAGGTTTAGTATTCCCTCTACTAATTTCTATTGTTGAGTACTTATAAGAGTGTTTTTATTGCATACAACACAGTGATCATAATTAGTTTTTTGCAATGTCATTCTAGTGGCAGAAATCCAGACAGTGTGTTGAATAAGAAATTAAAACCATAAACAGTTTAAATCACTAGTGCTTCTCTTACTCATGTGAAAGCTATTCAAAGGTCTACTGCTCAAATGTACCATATTTTTGCATCTCCAGTGTTTGTCAGGTGATGTCATAGGAAAGCTGCATTTCTTTACAGAATACTGTGGGCAATTGCAAAGTGCCTGTGTGAGTCTACTTCAGCAGGAAAATTGAATCTCAGAATAGGAACAAGTTGACCAATCAAATGCTGAATCATTCTTTGAAAAGGCTAATGTGAAGGTTTAAGTAAAGTTTTTTTCAGATGCCTTCCTGCAGATATATTGCTACACTTTTGCTGAACTGGAAAGGTGCTTTTAATTTTTTTTATAAGCATATTTTAAATCTGCCCCAGAATACACCTTTTTTTTTTCTGACAGCATTTTAAATATACCTCCAAACTTTATTTTAGATATTTGATTTTCACTTTCCTTTGAATTTTAAGGGAACTCTTTTCCCCTGAGATCATAGTTTGTTTATCTAGTAGATTATCTCAAGCATAGAAAGGTGTGAGCATAAAAAGTAGAAAGGTAAATTGCTAAAGAAAGCTTTTTATTCTTTAAAGGTTGTGGCTTACTTTACATACTCACTTGACTATTTTTATTGCTCAGTGTATCAAAGTATAGGCCAGAGTTCGGTGTTGCATCTGCAAAACACAGCTTCCCTTCTCTTATGTACCCAAATAAAAATAAATCAGACAATTTATTATTATTCAGTTGCAATGAAACAAAGAAGATTATGATAAATTTAGATGCATTGGAAATTATTGACTGAAGTATTATTTTATGCAAAGATCTCACTTAAACTCTGGTTTTCATTAAAGATTTTTCACTCTTTAAATATGTACTAGATGTACTATCACACAATATAACAATTATATATGTATATAAATATATAACAATTAATGTATGTTTATGGTTTCCTTAAAGTACATTTTAGGAGTAAATTTGAAATGATAAATGAATTTTATTTGTAATTATCCTGCAGTAGCTGAAACTGCTTTTGCAATTTCCTCAAATTTTTTTCATTCCAGCAAATGTGTAATTACTTGGACAGATTTGGTGGGCTTTCTAGATAAATGCAGTCCAGTTAGGAATGGTTGTAAACCTATCCAGTTATTTCCTGTCAAAACACTTTTATATATGTCCTGGTTTTGTATATTTGAACTCTCTTACATGGATGTAGTCCAGGGTGTTTGTGTATTTTTATTAAGTTCATGAAAGAGAGTCTACATTTAGTGGTCACCTCTTCTGAGTATTGGATTTTCTTCTTTCTCTGGTAGCATGAAAAGATATTTCTCATTATGTACATTAGATAATTTAAATTATATCTACAGAAGATCTGGATGATAAAATTTTATTAAAAGTTTTAGAATTACTGAAATTTGGAAGACTTTAAGTTAAGCAAAAATAGTAATTCATAGAAATAAACTTTGCATGAATTTACTGCTATATCAATAGCATATGCAGGAATTCTGACTTTCATATATATAAGTAGTAAAAGAAAGAAAAAGCAAACATTCTGATAATAACCACATCTCGTAAAAAATAATCTGTTAAGAGTTCAAATTGCTTCTGCTCTGTTGAACAATGTCCTTTCCATTCTTACATGGCAAAGTTAAGTCTCGAACCTCTTGCTTGTATCTGTCTTAAAAATAAAAACCCTGTATACATCATATTTAACACTTTTCACAGATGTAATGCTAAATCATTTCTGCAGCTCTCCACCGTCATCACAGATTGTAATGAAACAAAGAATTCTGTGAAGCTGTTTAGGCAAAATCTGTTGCCAAATACATGAGGAGAATCATGATTTCTTCCTCCTTCTTTAGAAGCCTAATCTTGTCCTAACTACTTTTAATAAGAGTAGTTTTGGTTGGTTTACAAGAACTGTAATCTTTGGGCCCAATACTCCAAAAGAAGTAAACAAGGTTTCCCAAAAATATTTCAAATCAGGCCAGCAAATTTTTTGTTCTTCTTTTTCTTAAAATGCAACAGAAGTTGAAAGGTAAACCAGAAGGGATAAACCTATGATAAAATAGGTTATACCAGGATATACTGCTGACCTTTCCAGAGTTTTCAAATACAGTCTAGG